CAATAATCTGGTGTTTTCTGTGCTCTGACACAGAAGTCCTTGCATCATCACTGCTTAGGAAACATGCTATGAACTTGCCCACATCACTACCTTTCCTTGGCTTTTCCAAGAGCATCCAGCCCTTTGGCCCACAGCTGAGTAAGCCTTAGTCCCCTATCTGTTTCTGAGTCCTCMTGATGCCTGCTTGCCCATTGCTTGACTGTGGTGTCAAATCCTTGTTCCTTACATCAAAGATCTCAAAGCCAGCAATGTCCAGGACACCAATGAAGTACTGCCTGGGCTGCTTCGTATCCAGCTGCTGGTTGATGCGAATAACCATCCACAGGAACATCTTCTCAAAGACAGCCTTTGCCAGGGCACCCACTGAATTGTTCACCTGGAGCAGAGGAGACAGGACTGCAGTTACCTCTGAGGGTCAAAGAACACTGMYCATGTACTCCTTCTAGCTGTGCATTTYCRACCTCCAGATGTTACCTGTGTYACRTTTTGACCTTTGGTCACGTATTCATTCCCAACCTTGACTCGGGGGTAACACAAGGCCTTGAGAAACTCAGCTGAGTTAAGGCCCATCAGGTAGGCAGCCTTGTCAGCCACTAGAGATGGGGAAACAGAGAGTGAGAAAAGTATTTGTCTCTGGACAATCTCTATAATTCAGAGTTCTAGGAATATAAGAACATTTATCTCATCCCACACAGAAAGCCTGTGAAGGAATGCAAATTCTGGAAACTTATGATGGTCTTCTTTGAAAGCAAGAACAGGCATGGATGGCTTGGATAGGAAGAGCTTGAACCTGTAATTTCCTGGAAGAAGCCCAAAAGCCTCTAGCAATACATAAGGCAAGGCACATTCTTTTTCCATGGAAGGGGATTTCTGGGCAGGACGGCTCTCAGGACTTTTTTCATCAAAACCATATTGTCCATCAGGGTGTCATGGAGTGTTTAGAGGTTTTCAAGAGAGACAGAGAGGGGGATATCCTGTGCTGGAGTTTCTGCTTTCAGGCAGCACGTGTTTGGGGAGCAACCATTGGATAGAATAATGGAACTTCCCGTAACTAGGAAAGCACATCTGCAGTTAGAGGGACCAGGCATAAAGATGATATTCTCAATGTTTTATATGGACCAGCTCGGGCCAACTGCAGTGTGCATTTGGAGCCTGTGGAGGCTGAGAAGGGCTTGGCACAAATSAGTCTCTGAATTTGCTGATACCTTCTGTGCCGTCAGGCTCTGCCTGCTCCTCTCGTTGTTTCTGCTTGAATTTCAGGTTCCCGTAGTGCATGACAGCCCCTGTCAGCTTGTAGATGGCTGTTTTCTCATCAGCACTGAAACCCAGGATGTCAATGGCACTCTGCAGTCAAAACAAC